CAACATTGCTACCGCTGTGGATCACGTAATCACTTAGCTAATGATAGAGACTGTCCTGCTGCATCTGCTATTTGTAATAAATGCAAAAAACGTGGTCATTTTGCAAAAATATGCCAATCGAAAGCGAAAACAGTGCAAGAAATTTCTGTGCCAGAAATGACAGTGCTTAATTTGAACGCTTCAGTGAATGATAAAATTTACTGTGAAGTTGAAATAGCAACATCACAAGGCTGTGCGCACAAAGTGAAACTGTTAGTGGATACAGGTTCAAGCGTGTCAATTCTTTCACAATCCTTGTACGAGGATCATTTCACATCTACTCCTTTGCTTCTGCCCAAAGCCCAACTGGTCACTTATTCTAAACAGCCCTTGCCTGTACTGGGTTGTATGACTGCTACAGTGACTCATAATGCCATTACAGCTGACGCAAATTTCTACATTGTAGAGAGAGGAGCACCTCTCTTGGGACTGGATCTAATCAGAGCACTGAACTATCATGTAGCATCTGAAGATGTCACTGATATGCACAGTACTTCAATGCATGCCATTCAAGCGACAACTAGGGTGCTCAATTGTGCGGACGAACATTTAAATGTGCAAGACGAGTGTGTAAAAGGATTCATACATAAGGTGCAAGTGGACAACACCATTAAACCTGTGCAGCAAAAAGTTTGCCGGCTTCCACTGTGCGTTCGCCAGGATGTGTCAAATAAGATCCAACGGCTGCTAAAAGCTGGAATCATAGAGCCCATAGATGCGAGCCCCTGGGTTTCACCATTAGTGGTGACGAAAAAGAAACAAGGAGGAATTCGTATTTGTGTGGATTTAAGCGAGCCAAATAAGAGTATTATTGTGGATTCACACCCACTACCACATATGGAAGAGCTGTTTGCGGAGTTGAAGGGTGCTACAATATTTTCGCAGATTGACTTACAGAGTGCTTATCATCAGTTGCCTCTAGCTGTGGAAAGCAGAAACCTGACTGCGTTTCTATGTCACGAGGGACTGTACCAATTTACGCGGGTCCCTTATGGTCTCGCTTTGGCACCCGCTGCATTTCAAAAAAATGATGCACACACTCTTAGGAGATCTGCCAGGTTGCCAATGCTATCTTGATTATATAATCTGTTATGGCGAAACCAAGGAGAAACATGACAAACGTCTGAAGGCTGTCTTACAGCGCCTCGAGAATGCAAACCTGAAATTGAACCTCAACAAAAGTACATTCGCCCAGCAGAGTGTGTCATACTTGGGCCACACTATTTCAGCTGAAGGCTTGCGCCCTAGTATGGATCACATGGCTGCTATCACAAGCGCACCTGCTCCTAGAGATGCCACTGCACTTCGCTCATTCTTGGGCCTCACTTCATGGCTAAGCAAATTCATTCCTAATTACGCAACCGTTGTGGATCCTTTACGACGCCTGCTAAAAACGGCTTCACAAACTAGCATGGACTGGCCGCCTGAGGCAGAGGACAGTTTTCAAAAGCTGAAAACACTGCTCACACATAGTCCAGCTCTGGCACCTTTCGATCTAAACTTGCCAACGTCTGTCTCAACGGATGCATCTGATTATGGCTTAGGAGCTATGTTATCTCAGCTTCACCCAGATGGCACAGAACGAGTCACTGCGTTTGCTTCTCGAGTACTTACTGATGCAGAGAAAAAGTACAGTACTGTGGAAAAGGAAACGTTGGCATGTGTTTTCGCTGTGGAACGCTGGAGAACGTACCTCTGGGGGAGAAGATTCACTCTCAGAACGGACCATCAAGCGTTATCAACTCTACTAGCTACAAAAGGCATGAATCGCGCTGGCTTACGTATTGCAAGATGGTCAGCTAGACTGCTTTGTTATCAATATGATGTGGTGCATAGGGCTGGACACAAAAACTTTGTAGCCGACTGCTTGTCTAGAATGCCAGTAGAATCACAAGATCATGAGCAAAACGCTGAACCTGCATTGCTTGCTGAAATAGACACTGTGCAAGGCCCCATACCTTTCTCACTTTTGGAAGAACAAAGTGATTGCTGCCCTGAACTTGCTCGCCTAAAAACCCAAATGCAAAGTGGATGGCCAAAGAAACAAACAGACGTTCCTATGGAGCTGCGTCCTTACTACCACTTACGACATGAACTTTCTGCTGAGGCTCCACTCCTCCTACGTGGTTCTCGTGTACTGGTACCAGTATCACTTTGCACTACACTCGTGCATCTTGCGCATGAAGGACACCAGGGTATCGTGCGAACGAAACAACGGCTACGTGAGCTGTATTGGTGGCCACACATGGACACACATTCGAATTGATGAGAGGGAGACAAATGCGCACAAAACTGCATATCCTTCCTATACAGACCACACGGGATTCTGCCATTAGGCAGTATGTCAAAGCCAAGCAAGAGAAAAGCAAGGTTTACACGGATGCCAAACGTAGCGTGAAAATTCCTTCCTTTCGGCCAGGAGATAAAGTGCGAGTGAGAAAACCATTCCTTGTAAAGAAACCAGACTCAAAATTCTCACAACCTCTCACAGTGAATAAACAAACAGGAGCAAGTACTTACCTTCTCAGTGATGGGAGACGTTGGAACGCAGTACGTTTCTCCAAGTGTGCTGGAAAGGTAACGGAGGATTCCTTCAAGGACTCTCTAGCAGATCCAAATAAATGCCCAAGGAGTGTGAGGATGAAGAGGAGTCCGATATGGTTGAAGGACTATGTGGCTTGAGAAGTAAGAAGAAAAAAAAAAAGAAGAGAATTGCCTAGTTCACATTAAAGGCAGAAACAGTAAGAGTAAATAAAAAAAAGGGGGGAGAATTTCAGTAGTATGTAAATTTGTTAAATGATGCTGTTGTATTATGTTATTACTTATTGTGGAAGTTGTAGCATTTCTTCTCACAAAAGGGGGAATATGTTGTGTCCAGTAGATGGCGTTGTAGGCTTGTTCTGATGCTGTGCCTAAAGGAAAAAGGAGAGCAGAGTAAAAAATGAGTTCATGGAAGAAACGTGTCCGTGTCTGTCTGTTCTGAGTATTAATTTATTTGAGAGAATACTACAGCTACGCTGTGAGGAGCAGGATTTCCATGCAGAACATTCCTGACAGTGATCCTCAGGTCACCCTTGTCTCTAACTAACGCAGCCCTGAGATCTTTACGACCAGAGGCACTGGACTGGGTAGAATTCAAGGGAAGCCTCATAATAAATGAGAGGCGCCCCTCAGCGTAGCCATTGACATGAATTCGCAATATGGGCATGATCTATCCACAAAAGCCGCTTCAGCCGCTTCAGCACCCAGACATGTGAGACAGCGATTTTGCCTGTCATCAGAAGTAAGGCAAAACAACCACACCAACCACACCCCGGTTGGAAAGACATCTTGAAAAACACTCTTACGCTGGAGTGCACAGGGGTGGAGCACAGTACTTGTGTGCTATCACAGGGGCCAACAAACCACTGCTGTGTTCCAGACACCACATTCAGAGACTTATCCTCCTACGTGGTTCTCGTGTACTGGTACCAGTATCACTTCGCACTACACTCGTGCATCTTGCGCATGAAGGACACCAGGGTATCGTCCGAACGAAACAACGGCTACGCGAGCAGTATTGGTGGCCGCACATGGACGCGATGGTCAGTGGCCTCATAAAAACATGTACTGCTTGTCAAATGAATGATAAGTCAGCACGCACACATGCAGCTCCGATGCAGCCAGTGGAATTGCCGCAAGGGCCTTTTCAAAAAGTAGCTGTTGACGTGGTAGGACCATTCGACATGGCTACACATGACTGTCGTTATGCCATTACCCTACTGGACTACTACAGTAAATGGCCTGAGGTGGCTTTCACTCCATCTGTCACCACAGCTACATTAGTGACATTTCTAACTTCAGTGTTCGCTCGAGAAGGTAACCCTGCATACATAGTTACTGACAATGGCAGTCAGTTCTGCTCCTCAACATTCCAGGATTTCTTGAAGGACAATGGCATTACACACATTCGCACTAGTGTGTATCATGCTCAAGCAAATGGTGCTGTTGAACGTTTTAATAGAGTCCTCAAGAATTGCATCCAAACTGCTGCGCAGTTGCACAAGCCTTGGAAACAAGAAGTAACTGCATTCTTACACGTCTACAGAGCGACACCACATGCAACTACTAACAAAACTCCTTTCGAATTGATGAGAGGGAGACAAATGCGCACAAAACTGCATATCCTTCCTATACAGACCACACGGGATTCTGCCATTAGGCAGTATGTCAAAGCCAAGCAAGAGAAAAGCAAGGTTTACACGGATGCCAAACGTAGCGCGAAAATTCCTTCTTTTCGGCCAGGAGATAAAGTGCGAGTGAGAAAACCATTCCTTGTAAAGAAACCAGACTCAAAATTCTCACAACCTCTCACAGTGAATAAACAAACAGGAGCAAGTACTTACCTTCTCAGTGATGGGAGACGTTGGAACGCAGTACGTTTCTCCAAGTGTGCTGGAAAGGTAACGGAGGATTCCTTCAAGGACTCTTTAGCAGATCCAAATAAATGCACACCAAGGAGTGTGAGGATGAAGAGGAGTCCGATATGGTTGAAGGACTATGTGGCTTGAGAAGAAAGAAAAAAAAGAAGAGAATTGCCTAGTTCACATTAAAGGCAGAAACAGTAAGAGTAAATAAAAAAAAGGGGGGAGAATTTCAGTAGTATGTAAATTTGTTAAATGATGCTGTTGTATTATGTTATTACTTATTGTGGAAGTTGTAGCATTTCTTCTCACAAAAGGGGGAATATGTTGTGTCCAGTAGATGGTGTTGTAGGCTTGTTCTGATGCTGTGCCTAGAGGAAAAAGAGAGTAGAGTAAAAAGGAGTTCATGGAAGAAACGTGTCCGTGTCTGTCTGTTCTGAGTATTAATTTATTTGAGAGAATACTACAGCTACGCTGTGAGGAGCAGGATTTCCATGCAGAACATTCCTGACAGTGATCCTCAGGTCACCCTTGTCTCTAACTAACGCAGCCCTGAGATCTTTACGACCAGAGGCACTGGACTGGGTAGAATTCAAGGGAAGCCTCATAATAAATGAGAGGCGCCCCTCAGCGTAGCCATTGACATGAATTCGCAATATGGGCATGATCTATCCACAAAAGCCGCTTCAGCATTCTTGTGGCCCAGACATGTGAGACAGCGATTTTGCCTGTCATCAGAAGTAAGGCAAAACAACCACACCCAGAAGCACACGGTTGGAAAGACATCTTGAAAAACACTCTTACGCTGGAGTGCACAGGGGTGGAGCACAGTACTTGTGTGCTATCACAGGGGCCAACAAACCACTGCTGTGTTCCAGACACCACATTCAGAGACTTACTGCAGACTGTTGTTGTAATTTTCTTTGTCATTCTTTTCTTATCAGTTGAAAAGGCACCCACAAACCAATCGGCTTCGAAGCAAAAATCATCTTATATATCTGTATGTATGGGGAGTGGCTTGGCATGCAAATTTTACTTACCAATTGTCATTGGATGTTTCTTGTAATGGTCTGAGGTGATTGGGGCTCCCAATTGATACCCCTAACGTCAGTGTCAACGTAATGTCGACTGTGTAAGAGCCGAAATGATCTCCCCATAAAACCAAACTTCAGGAACTCTCAAAACAGATGCCATGAAACAAAACAATAAAACTAAGCTGGAGAAAATATCTCAATAAAGAGCATATAACTCCACTTTGCCTAAACTTCTCTTCTTGCTCATTTATAACCCCCTCTCCCCTCTCCCCCACCAGGCTTCACTGAAAATTCACTAAGAATATCTACCACATATGATGTATCTTGTTAATCTGTTGTTTTTCCCTTCATGTTTAGTATCATTGTAAAGGTCTCTGTGTGATTTGTAAAATGGCCTTAATTTCACAGCAGTCTCTTATATTATGAAGTAACTGCTGAAGAAACTTTTGAAGAATTATGTTTTGCTGTTGAGGGGTGTCTCTCTCTCAGGGTCTGTGCGAATGTTTTCCCTTCTCTGGCTAGGTGTGACCCTTGGGTCACAGAATACTGACCAACTAAAAGGTATTTTATGTTTTTACAACTGATTTGAAGATTTATTTTTTCTGGTCTGGATATATAAGGAAAGTGGCAAGACACTAATTTGGGATTCTGTAACCAGAAAACCCCCACACAGCATGTGTGAATCTCTGGAGCTCTGCATCCAAATCTCTCACATGCTGCTGTGTTGCCTCTCTGCTGTCGGGTATGCATCTCTCACTTTTAGATTCATCTTTGAGCAATTGATGTTATGTATTTATCTTAATTGGAATTGGATTTAATTCTGAATTGGATTTTTATTGTTTAATTATGTAATTGGCATGATACATTTTTACCTGACAAAAAAGTTGTATTTGTTTTATTCTGATCTCGTCGATCAGTTTTATGACCTCTTAATGGCTGTGTGGGGGAATCTTTAGATTCTGTTTGGAATGTGTTTATTCTGCAGCTTTGGTGGGTCTGTTCTGCAGAGGCTTTACAAATATTATATAAACACAATATACAGACAGTGTCAAGATTTTCCTGTTTGCTTAACTAGTCATTTTACCTTAAGTATAATGTATACTAAATAAGAATAAAGTTAAAGGATAATAAAGAGGGAAAATAAGTATTTATGTATTATATGTAATATAAATGATGAACTAATGAGTTGTCTCCGATAGGCTGATGATGAGTCAACACCTCATGAGGCTCTGCATATTGCACCTTTAAGTTTATAATCTTTGCTGTTTTAAACCAAACAGACAGTAAAAGCAATTTTTGGACAGCTACTAAAGACTCAAAGACTTCTTTTTATCAGGGACGGTTTCTTCATTAGGGCGATAGGTCGACACACCACCAAAGTGTGAAAGGGAGAGATTTTTTTCTATCACATTAAACCACAGTGTTACGCTAGCTGTCACTGTTCTAGACTCTTTGTTCTGCTCTGGATATATCAGCATCAATTCACATTATGTGGAGTCTATTATTATTATTAGTGTGCAAATAAACAAACCGTGTATGTGCGCTCTCTGATAGCTTTTTGCACAAGCACATTTCAGTATGGTTGCTTGTCTGACAAGTGTTTTATAATGGACACTCATTGAAGAAGCATGGTTTTATAGAAGTTTGCAGTGGTCAGTGGTGTTTATATAAATATGGGCATCAACACTCACTGTGACAGAGGAACTGTTCACTGGTCATTTTGAGCAGCCTTAATATCATCGCATTCAACAAATTCAGAATGTTTTTATTTGTTTTTTTTATTTGTGTTTTGCTCTGTTTAATCATTTTGAATGGATCCGTATATATGTATATACAGTCAGGTTAAAGGTGCAGTAGGAGATCTTGGAAAATGCTAACTTTAGCCTGATAGCACTGAAAGCGAACGTCCCACCCTCCCTGCAATCGCCGTCCAAAGCCACGCCCCTGAACGCATTTACGCACAGACCAGAATACCAGAGACAACATTACAATAGGCTACATCAGCGTTTCCCAATTCCAGCCCATGTTCCGAAGTGAAGTAAACATCAACGTATTTCCCCTGCTCAGGGAGGAGGGAGCAATGAACACTGTGTAGGGATCATATCGATCGGAACACAGTTCATGCACGTAGCTCACTTCTAACGAGCTGGTTATCTGAATCTCGGGGACTGGAATTGGGAACCGCTGGGTTACATCATGTGTCATTCACCGGTGAGAAATCTTTAAAAGTACTACAATACCAGGAAGGAAAATCGGGTTGTTGATTCTCTGGCATTCTCGCTCTGTCTGCACAGCGTACAAGAATGAGCTGATGACGTATCATGTCTGCGCGAACAGGGTGCGCAGAGGTATGCTAATACATACGTTGACAGGCAGGTAGGAAAGCATATTAAAACGCTCGGACCGAACGTTTTGATTAGACGAACATTTCTTGATCCTACACCTTCCACAGAATATATAAATACAGACAAATACATTTAGACCACTTAACTTAATGATTGCTATCGGGATGTGAAGAGACTTTCAACCAGCATAACAAAAAATATTTCTGAAGACAATCACCTATTGCACCTTTAAAACAGTTGAGTAAAATTTATTTTCAGGATTCTTTGATGAATAGAAAGATCCAAAGATCAGCATTTATCTGAAATAAAACGCTTTTGTAACATTATACACTATTCCATTCAGTATAATTTTTATTATTTTTTTGGGAAAGAAATTATAGAAATTAAT